ATTTTGTCTCTCCTACTCTCCTCCCTATATCAACGTAAAGCACTAAAGTTGCCATGGAGCTTCAAAATGGCGCTAGAAATCCTTTGACTTTACTCTCGCTCCTTGTGTCTGTGTTTTTTTATTATAAGGATTTAATTATAAATATAATTGCTGAAAATCTATATGGACCCGTGTGATTAGCATGTCAGGTACACCTGCAAAGATCATTCTCATTTGGCTTGATAATCACATACTATATCAATTCTCATTTAGCACTAACCTGAATAGTTTGTTTAATGTATTTGTTATTATAACCTAATGTACTTGTTACTGAATGTACCTTAGCTTCTCACCGTAATTATAGCATAGCTTTTGAAGTCTGCTTTTTATTTATTTTTATAATTATTATTTATTTTTTTTATATAAATTTTATGCTGAAATTCGGTGTTATTCATGTTTCAGTTTATTGGTGAAGAAGAGCATAGTTTGGTGACAAACCAATCGTTTGAAGAAGTTAGTACTTTTTTCCGAGGTGATGATTTTATCGAGATGGATGATCTTTTCAGTCCAGGACCTGCCCAAGGCCTTAGTACATCACTTTCACTGCCAACTAACGCAGAAATCTTGAGGAATTCTAATTTTAGGATGGAAGATGGGGAATTTACACTTCAGAATTCACAGCCTACTAATGGAGAAATCCAGGGGAATTCGCACTTCAGAATGGAAGATGGTTTGGGTGAATTTGATTTGTATTATGATGCTGATGCCATATTACATCAAGTGGCAGCTAGTGATCCGACGATGCCTTTTCAATACCATGGGTCACATTCACAAGTAAGTGAATTAGCTAGTGAGACGTGGACTTATGAGCCGAAATTATGCGTCGTCAACTCCACAGTACCATCCACAGGTACATACTCACAGTTTCCATGCTAACACTTCAACCTAGCATGATGCATTATTTTAAGTAGATAGACTGGATTTATATACTTTTGACCAGTCAAACTAACCCTTATGAGTCACTATTCATTTAATCACTCAATTGGGTGGAAAATTGTTGGTGTTTTCTGTATATTGAAATGGAGATTGAAATGGAAAATTATTGGTCTGTCATATCTAAGTTACTATCTAGTTAGATTTTGGGGTTGTTTGGTAAAGAGAGTTAGCCAAAATGTTAGCTTATTTGATCAAAATCAGCTTATTCAAATTAATATCAACCTCTACGTATTTCCTTTGTTAAAGTTGTCTCAAACCGTTTTGTGTTTTACTCCTTTTTATTTATTTCTTTATTTCTTTACTTTTTAATACCTTTTACCAATCTTTTAAACTCTTAAATTTAGTTTGTATATCCTAATTGGTTTTTTCGTTTTACACATCTTTTTCCGCCTACTTATATTCAATCAATTGTCTTGCTATGCTTGGTTCCTTGTGATGATTCTTGTTAGCCGTCCCCAAATTATTTTGGAACTAAAGCTTTGTTGTTGTTGATCAGCATAGAGGGTTGGCTGTTTAAAAAATATATTTTCTTTTGGTTGTTTGGTAAAGAGCTTTTTTTATGAACTTAGTTTTGGAGCTTTTTCAAATAGAAGATTTTACAATAAAAAGACTATTTTATCTTAAGTTGTTTATGTTTACATCTCATTATCAATATTGTCAATTTATCACATCTTTACACTCACAGAAAGTTTCTATTTGTCATTTCAAACTTTTAAGCAACAAAATAACTGCTCTTTATTATCTAATTTTATCACACTTCTTTTCAAACAGTTATTTTACCAGCTAATCAAGTTTCTAATATAAACTTGTCAAACCAGTTATTGCAACTAGTTATAACATACTTCGTTTTGTTATTTTTTGTTGTACTCGCTTACTATTTTAGTTCATTCATTTTTTGTTTTATTCATTTTGCATTGCTCTATATTTGACTTATCCTTATTATCATCTTATCTCCTGAACTCTACAATATATATACCGTTCCACACACACTATTACTTGATTTATCTTTTTTTTTTCTTTTCACAAACCTATCTTTTTACTTCTCTCTTATTTATCTTAACTGTCATACACCCACTTACATTCTTTAAATGTGTGCTTATAGTACTCTATATAGAACATAAAAGAACGGAAGGATTATCACTTTTCAATTTCTTAACCTTTTCCTTTAGTTCATCATTCAAGTGGTGGAAAATTCAAAGTTTTTTTTTTTTTTTTTTTTTTTGGGCGTGGGTGTGTGTGAAATTCAATGTTGCTTGTAATTGATTGGTTCAGAAAGACTAATTGTTGTTGATATTAGAGCTTTTTGGGTATGTCCATCAGGTGTTGTATATGATGGTATGTCTGACTCAAATCAAAAGCAAAATCAGGAGGCTGAAAGTTCTCAATCTTGGTCTTCTTTATGGTCATTTGTGGACTCCATACCTGCTGCCCCAGCATCAGCAGCTGATAGCGCCTTGTTGAACAAGGCGTTTCAGCGGATGTCTAGTTTTAGTAGGTTAAAAATGAGTTCTAAAATCATCATACCTGCAGTTTCAGGTAATATCAATAGTAAATCTTTGAGTACAAATGCAGGAAGCAGATTGAAAGGATACTTCTTTTTTTCGTTTTTGGCTGCCTTATTTGCTCTAGTATGCGTCTTTATTGGCTCAAATGCTAGTGCCTTTGGAAAATTACATTGTCGCATGAAATTGTAAAACTTATTTTCCCTTGGAGCCCTCATAATTGTATGTATGTGTGGGAACCGAAGGTGAATTGTGAGAGTAAATTTGTAATTTACAGTATTCAGCAATTGCTGGAGTTATTATACATATGGTTGATGATTAGTCAAATCTGAATATTAGAAAAAACCATTAAATTTTTTTAGCTCGCTGTCTGCTCAACGAGAAAATTCAAGTTTATCACTACGATGAACTTGGTATGTTTATCAAGGGATATGTTGGTCTTTATATTTATAAACTGTAGTGATAGGTTTGTCATTTCACAGATAGGTTTGTTATTTCAAAATCATGCAAGTGGCATTCAAATAAAAGTGGTTAGTTGGACGTTACATTCTTCATTTGTGAGTAATAAACTTCATCTTCTTCCCCGATAATAAAAATTTTAAACCCTCACGAGTAGCTTCAATGGAGGAGGACAATAAACCCTACCCTTAAGGTTAATCATGCCCTTTACCTCAATTTTCTTAGGGTTTTCGGAAATATGGCGGTGAAATGGATGGTTCACAAGCAACTTTAATGGAGGAGATTGATATGTAAGGGGAACTGCAACATGATGGTGGATATGGATTGATTGCTCATTAACTTTGTTTCTCAAGGTTCTTTATGGATATTTGACTTCATCGTCAACTTCCTTCATTCCTCCATTGTAGACTGGAGAAGGTGGCTCATTTGCAACTCCAATGGCAACTAATTTGACAATTAGCTTGTCATGTCACATGAGCTTTTAAGCTAATTATCACTTTAGCTACTTTTTACTCCAATGACTAGTAGTTTTTGTTGGATAGAAAATACATGAAAATAGCTTAATTGGTGTTATTTGCATTTTTATTTTGGCAAGTTTAATTCCCAAGCAAATTAGCTTGGCTTACCTAAGCTAATTGAGTTTTCTAACTCCAATGGTCAAGCTAGTAGCTAGGAAATTATTGAAATTGCAAGCAAGTCCCTAGCTACAACCATTGGAGTTGCTCTTATGGGTTTCTTACTTTCATTAATTTTTTTTTGGGGAGAAAAGTAGGATCTTTAATCTGCCATCTACGAGCCATCAATGACAACGGATGAGCTATTTTCTTTAGTTTCTCTCTTCTTTTAAGATATTTTTTTAGGATGAAGTTATTTAACACGTTGAAGTAACGACCTTAGTAATAGGAGGAAGTACATTTGAAGGGTTGTGAGACAAAATAAAATGTTTCACAACATAAAATAATATAGCAAATGTACTTGGAAGAGGGAGAAAGAAAGAGAGAGATAGAGAGAGTGAAAAAAAAGATGAGGTAGGGCCTACCTTTAGAGTCAGAAATGGTTTCACGTGCAAAAACGACAAAAAAAAAATATTAGGACCACAACTACTGAGAGTATATTTTGTACCACTGAGGATTTTTATAAGTACCACTAAAACCGCATTGAGTACCACTGAAAGTGTATTTTGTACCACTGAGCTGTAATGGTATTATTTGACAGCCTAATTAGACATTTGAACCTTTTTTTAAATACCACTAAAATTATATTTTGTACCACTGAATCTAAAATGGCAAAATTTAAATCCCGCATGAAATGACCAATCTACCCTTACAAGACACTTTTAAATCTCTCTCAACCCTCCGTTTATATAACCTCTAGCAATAGGTCGTCAGGCGACAACTGGCGAAAATAGTAGAAATATATACCAAAGTGCCATTTGATTAACAAAGGTGATCATGTTGTGCTTGCTCTTGCTCAACTTTGGGTTCAATGTATGATATATTATTTGAGTGAAAAATTCATAACAACAAGAGTTGACTAAAATGGGAGGCTTGAGTTCGAGCCTCAGCAAATGTAGAAAACACTTTTGGGAGACTCACCCACTATAAGCCAGGTGTGCTACCTGAATTGAATCCAAATGTAGTCGAAGCTAAGATTCGTGAACCGAGTGACATATTAAAAAAGTCTTCAAGGAACAGAAAAATACTACTATGTAATACGACTTTTGCTAGACTTGGCAAGGATAGGGAATACCTTATTGGGTCATTTGGTTCAACGTACGAGTATTGAGTGGAATGGAGTTAGATTTTACTAGGGTGGTATAGATTGAAAACCTCATGTTTGGTTTAATCATGGAATGGATTCTACATCCATACCTAGGGATTGGCTACTTTTAGAATACCCAATCTTACCCATGTTTTAATTATTAATCATAAATCAAAAACTTTCAAGATGTTACTTAAATATACCGCGAAATACAAATACTACTATGCAAACTAACAAAAAAATATATATTGTCATTATAATTACGAGTAGAATAACATGGTTGAAAAAATAGTTGGAGTCATATTGAAATTAACATTATGAATTATTAACTCAAAATAAATAAGTAAGTAAATAAAAAGTCTATAAAAATTAAATAAGAAAAAACTACGGAGTACTAAACTAGCAATTCCCTAGCCATAGAAGAGGGTAAACTAGCAATTCCCTGGCCGGAGAAGAAGTCGCCGGAAAACATGAATGATGTGGGTAACTACGGTTGCTTGATACTTGAGCTTTTCTCTCTTTACAAAGCTAAAAGATTACTCCTTGGTATGTCATTAATGATTTTGAACTTCAAAGCCAACATCATAGTGTTCCACTGTTCTTCCTGGCAATAGCGCAAAGTATATTAAGATGACAACACACCAGAATTGGTAGAATATGGGAATGGTTTGAACAATGTGGTCAAGCAAATTTCCTTATAATTCATAAACAATAAAATTCCTTTAGTCATGCACTTTAACAACTGTGTTTAGTTTTCTCATATGGTTATCCACTATTCAGGACCAAGGTCTTCGACGTTGTCAGGATCCTCAGGAGAGGCTTCTTCTGGGAAATATTCTTCGCCATTGAACATTTGTTCAAACATCTGCAAACCAGATATTAACAAAGTTAGCACACTCGGGGTTCAATTTCTTTCAAATGGAAGCCCAAGGGAATTCCCATCTTGGCACAACATTGCAAAAGCCCAGAGAACAGTAATTTAAGCAGTGAAGAACTGAAGATATTACTGCAATCATATAAAGGCCAAACAAGGTCTAGTTGCAAGAAATTGTAGATGCATCTTCTATAGTCGATTTGCACAAGTATCACTGCACAAAATCGAGTTAACATACCTTCTTTGTAGTGTCAATAAGGTTATTATAACTTAAATTTCCATCAGGAGAGGGACTGCTGCTGATAGTAGACACTGATTCCTGCAATGAAGCATGGATACGAACTAATTGTCACATATCGGAATTTTGCTCAAAAACCTTGTTTAAGTATCATGATAGATAAAAGACGCAAAGCAACAGAAAACCAAAATAATCAACTGCAGGCTTTTTAAAAACTTAAACATATAAAGAGAATAATAATAATTACCCTTCAAATCTATACATATCTATCTTGTGCATATCCAAATATCATTCACAGGATAATAGGAACTAAAATTAGAAGAGCTATAACGACCATCACAACGTTGAAACTTGCAAGTTCCCCAACTGTAGTAATACTTAAATAAATAAATGCAAATATATTTCGCTACTCAGAAGAAATGCTGAAGATGCTACTGAGTACTGACTACAAAATGACTAGACAACCAAAAAAGAAAAAAGAAAGAAGAATCCCCAAATCTCTAGCTTATAACCACAGTTTATTTACTCCAGAAGCACGAGACATACTTAAAAGATATAGCGGGGCAGAAGAGCATTCTAGTCTCATATCAGCCATCATGGTTGATACCTACCTCACTTGCTCATAACCTTGATGTATTAATCAATGAACTTCAGAAACATCCATAAATTATCAATCTCATACCTACCTCAGTTGGCCAAATGCTTGGTCTCACATCAACCATCTGAACAAAAGCATCCCACCACACAGCCTATCTGTTGCAAATGAACCCCCCCCCCCCCCCCCCTTCTCTTTTTCTATCCCCAGCACCAGCAATTATCAATCTCATGCTCATCACCCAAATTATCTCCTCTATCCTTGCCTCCATCTTCTATTATTGTGGCCATTGCTCCGCTTACAATAATAATAAAAAAGGGACTGCCTTTGTAAGCCTAGGCAACAACTGTTCTCCCCTATTTTTCATAGAAAAGGGTTGGGGGACTAAGAAACATGCATCAATTGCTAGCCCGTTACAGCTGCACTTTCTCTCCAAATGGCTATTGCTTTAAATATATAATTTAGGAGACAGCTTCTCTAACAGAGTATCAGCCTTTGACTAGTGAGAGCAAGGCTGCATGTATGGGGTATGGGTCTCCCCTGACCATGTCTAAGTTGAAAATAACAAGCACTAGTACCTGGCCTGGTGGGCGGTCTGCGTAATAATCCAAGCCATTTTTTGCTGACTTTAGCAAAAGAATTTCATGTTCTATAGGATAAAAGAAAATTGAGGATCATCCAAATGACATGAACAATGAAGAATCCATTAAGTTGATAGAATATATAAACTATTCCCACAATGATGTGAATTCCGCATTGATCCAATAAGAAATGACCAGGACCATACGGACTGGAAAGGGCATTGAACAAGAACGACATAGCACACAGGCACCTTCATGAGGAATAGCCTTGAGCAAAAATAAAAGCCACGAGCTTATGATTATCCAGTCATGGTATACCAAGAAGTTTTGCCAGTATTGCCACTACTAAATATAACTCAATCTAAAAGTTGCAACACAAATGAATGCAGTTCCAGAAAGTATGACTTGGTTGAGCCTAAAGAGCAGGAAAATGGGTATTAAAATCACCAATTTATCTTTTCATTTTTCTTTAGGTGGGTTATAAGGGAAGCAATCAAACCTCTGTAATTTCCTGGACATATAAGGCAGTCCACACCAATGCTGGTTTTTCCTCTTCTGTAACTGCACTCTGATCTACTAACTTATCTTCAGGAATTTCTGGAGCCTTTAACTTGGAGCTTCCGGATGTAGGTTGCTCGAATAAAGTATTAATTGCAGCATTTAAAATTTTCTTCCCTTGGCTGGCATCATCACACAAAGCAGAGAGGTGCAAGACAAACCTGTTGAACAGGAAGTATGCAACATGAGTCATTTGCAAATTCCTTCTTATTTCTTCCACATGTACATTGCAATGAAGAAAAGGAAGGAAAGATTAGATCAGACAGACCATAAAACACATACAAGTACACAATGGTATTCATACGCCCAACATTTTTAAATATCTAAGATTATTAGTTAGCAGAATCAGAGCCTCAGAGGTGCTACACATGTCTCTGTCCCAAAAACAAAGAAGAAATGCAAATCATAGACAAGTTACAACTGGTCTATATCTTAGATAAACACATATATTTTCTAAGATTGTCCAGGTTCTCAAATTTCTAGTAGGAATGTAGGATTACCATTTGATTTGCAGAATGAGAGGATGCTATAATACATTCCAAGAAACAAGGAGGAAAAAACATATAATTGACTGTTTTATATTGGCATTTATCACCAAAAAAAAAAAAAAAAAAAAAAAAAAAAGAGAGAAACTGGTTTCCATTTGCTCAACAGTCACTGATCTCACTATTTGCTAGTGGGATCAAAATTTGACTTCGAATGTATATCACAGTTAAGGTGCAGCTGCTCCCTTCAGGCATTACCAATAAAAGACCACAAGCAATCTCATAAGTAAAGTTCTGGAGTCAGGAATAATGTAAATAGAGACAGACAAAGATTTGTTGGCTTCCAAACTTACATGCCCACGGGGCACACTGCTGAATTGCTGCCCAGTTGGAGAACCCGAACAGATGTTGCCTGCTCAGCGTACAAAGCTAGAGAAAAAAAATAAAATAAATTAGTAAGCTTATAATCCCCCCTCAAACTATATATAAGAACCGAATAAGGCATCTACAAATCTTACATCTGGGAGGATATACTATTGCAAGGTTTGAAGCATCCGACTTCAATGATGTTCTAGTAATACATATTCCCCTAGCCACCTTTTTTATACCTCTTGGGATGAAATTTTGAGAACTTCCTTGTAAACCATCCGGCTTAGACAAAGTCAAAGCTTGAGGAACTACAAATTGTGGGTCAATAAGCAATTGCTGACTCAAGATATCCTGACCAGAAGCCAATCTAACACCTTTATAAAGACCACTACCCTGCAGTATCAACAATATAAAGTAAACTTGTCACATTATCTGGATATATCCTACGTGCTATGGAGTTGAACAGCTATTAACAATCACATTTCACACCTTATCTGCAAGCAAAGCTGTTACTGGCATTCTCAGTACCTGTAAAATTTAAAAAGAAAAAAAAAAGGCTTAGTAGAAGCCTAAAATGACAAAAGTTCACCTTCAGAAGAGAAATGCATCAAATTCACCATGTTAAAACAAGAGAAGAATATTAACATGGACATGAAATGAATTCAATTTGGTTTCATGGTAATTCAACAGATAAGGAATCTAAATGAAGGGCAAAACATCTACAGAAATCTTAATAATATCATCAAAGCTGGTCAATGAATGATAAAATTATAGCATAATTGCAAGATATTAGTAGCAAACTTCATCACTCAAGTGATTTTAATTGTCAGCTTATCATAATTTCCCAGCCAACATGACTTTTGAAGTTCCCTCTTAGAATGGAAAGCCAGCTCCTGGTTATACAGATTATAAAGATAAAGTCTTTATACAGATGAAGTCTACAAGTAATGCTCACACACAAGGCCATTAAAGGAGGGGGGGGGGGGTGCTAGGCAACCATTCTCACTCACACAGTTTAAAAGAAGTTGTCTTGGGCTCTTGGCCTTACCCATACAAAATGAAGATGTCTTATGCTTATTTTATCCCTACACATTTTCAGAATAAGATGTTTTCTTTATATTCTAATAGACAGCTGACTATCATTCACAGCAAAATATTTTAAATAAAAAAAAAAAAAAAAAAAAATGATGGGAAAGGCAGTACTTTTGTTACAGTTCAAAAAGTCACAAGAGTATTCTATCAAATCGGAAGGTTCACTCCTATGTCAAAAAGGAACCGAACAAACACACGTAGATGGAAGTAAAACAATGATTGAACCAAGACAAGACTTTCTAAGTAATTCTCTCAGGCACCTACATATATGCATCCTTTGACAGCAGCACGACGGCAGAAAGCTTGTGGCAACTCTCCTTGGCCATACATAGGATATAACATAGCACCTGGGGCATTTGGGAATCTTAAACAGGATGGGAAGATAGTTGACAGGTAGATAAACAAAACTTTAGCCTTTGTCAATTTCAAACAGAAAAGGAATAAGGAAAAAGGAAAAACTATATGAATATCAATAATCATGTTAATATAACTAATGCTCACCTTCCAATCGACGAGTGATACAGAGCCAAACGATTAATCCCATCCTTTGTCTTGAGCAGATCTTTGCAGACTTCTAAATTTTCTTGGTCGTAATCTGCAAGTGCTATGGCGTACAAGATAATCCTAATGAGATAAAAGTTAAAGGTCATTAAGTACATTGTATAGGCAGACAAGCAAACAAATCCAATGTTGAATCAACTTCGACTAATAACACCATCTTACATAACAGTAATACGAAGCATGAGTAACTATTACAATAAAAATTAATTTAAATCAATAGTCTTGTACAGTTAGCTTAAAGGTAAGAAACAAAAACAAGGAAACACAAATGGATAACAAGAAGTCATCATTGCAAAGTGACAATGGTAAGGGGCAGAGGAGATGAGAAGATGTACCAACTAGATTGATTATTTTGAGCTTAAAAAAATGGTACTGCTATGAAACACGTGAATCTAGAGGACAAAAGGGACTTAATCTCCTCTCAACTAGTCAACTTCTTGGTGAAGTTTAGTAGAAGTTCATCATGCCTAATTAAAATTACTAGCCCTCGATGTTTATATTTGGCCCTCCACTTCTTTCGCGAGAGTTTCTAATCCGCATTCTCTTAAATCTCCAAACTTGGCTCACAAAACTTCCCTGCTTAAAGTGTCTCAACCATCAACGCCTAGTCCTCTCCATTTTAGCCTGAAGTCCTAAACCAAAGTTACTTTTTCCGTATTCAATCAAGTCTTAACTTTACTTTTATCTTCTATACAAAGCACATCAAATGTAACATTTGGACATTTCACCGTAATGATTAGCTCTAATCTTCCTAGACGATTCCAGATCACCCATTCAATTTAATACGAATTTGAACTCATTGTATTTCTATGATTCCATGGCCAATACTTTCTACTGTGATGATTATCTCAAATTTTCCCAAAAGAACTTCAAACATCAAATTCAATTCCACAAGAATCCTAGCTACATTCTATTTCTGTGATACCTTAGACAACCACTTTTTACAGTAATGATTAGCTTTATTCTTCCCATATGAGCTCAAAACATCAAATTCGATTTAACAAGAGTCCCAGCTACAAACTACTTTCTACAGTAGTTCTATTATTCCTAGACATCACATTCTACAGTAATGATTAGCTCTAATCTTCCCTGATGAGTTCAGGACATCAAATTCAATTAAACAAGAATTTTAGCTACATACCTACATTCTATTTGTATGATTCCCTAGACAACACTTTCTACTGTAATGATTACCTCAAATCTTCCCAAATGAGTTCTGAACATCTAGTTCAATTTAACAAGAGTTCTAGCTAAAATCAATTTCTATAATACCCTAGACAACAATTTCCACTGTAATGATTAGCTCAAATCTTCCCAAATGAGTTCGGAACATCTAGTTCAATTTAATAGCTAAAATCTATTTCTATATCATAGACAATAATTTCCACTGTAATGATTAGCTCTAATCTCCCCACATAGGTTCGAAACATCAAATTCGATCAAACAAGAATTCTAGCTACATTCTATCTATATGATTCCCTAGACAACACTATCTATTGCAATGATCAGCTCTAATCTTCTCAGTTCCCACATGAGTTCCAAACATCAAATTCGATTCAAAACAAATTCTACCAACATTCTAGAAATTAAAGCAAAGATATTATCAATTTAAAATCACACTAATAAAAAGATGAATTACCATTTAATCTTCTGATTCAAAGGATTGTTATTCAACCGAAACTTATTCAAGAAATCAATAAAAGGACTCTCCAAATCCTCCTCAGAAATAACATCTTCACTCTCCCCACCCATATGCTTCTGAACAAGCTTAAAAAACTCCATTAATGTTCGCTTCTCGATCAAACTCAAGCTCTTATCCTTAAAAATGGCAGCCCTCGAACCCGGAACACTCGAAAACCCCTTCTTCTCACCATCATAGATCAAACTAGCATCAACACCCTTGAATTCCAAATAATTATTGACCCCAGATTTCAACAACAAATCAATGGCGGAATCAGCACAAAATAAAACCCTAGGACCCGAAACATCGAAACAAAATCTACGAATACAATCACCCAATTCCGCCGGAAAAGGAGGGATCTCAACATCGGAGTACAGAGACTTTGAGGAGAGAGAAACGACGTCGTATTCTTCCGAAATGGGAGGAGTTTGAGGTTGAAGGGGAGGAGAGAGAAGGTGAGAGGAGAGTTCGGGAGGAGAGAGAGAGGAGAAATGGGAGCCATAGAAGGGGTTGGGGTCGAGATGGAGGACGGATTTTCCGGCGGTGGAGGCGGCGGCGGCGATGATGGATTGAGAAAGTCCGGTGCCGATTATTGTTAGGTCGAAGGTGGTTGGATCTACCGGCGGGAATTCCGGCGGCGGTGGTGGTGAAAAAGAGTCCGACATGGTGGTTATTGGATGAGTGAACAATCGGAGTTGTTTTGGAGACTAATAGAGTTTCAACAAGTCAATTTTATTTATAGTTTTGTGTTGGTTAAGGTATAACACTTGAAAAAGGTTCTCGTAAAAGATAAAGGTAAAAACTAACGAAGGTTTCGAGTTGTTGGATAAGATAACTTAATGTAGAAATATTAAATTAAAATTAGGGAAATTCTACAAGAAGGACTTCACGTTTTAAAAATTTTACATGAAAGACAAACATTTTTTCAGTTCTATTCTGTGGCATTATGGTTTTCCAAAATTAAATGTAGTGTCCTTTTTTGGTTTTATGGCTAACTTTTTTTTTAAAAAAAAAATAATCAAAACGGTTAGGGTTCGTTTGGCATTGCTGTGGTTTTCTGTTTTTTGGTTTTTTGTTTTCTAAAATTATATGATATGAGTCCCATATTGAATAGAAAATTATATAAACTTATTAAAATTATGATAATTTTGAAAACTGGCAACAAAAAAGTGGAAACACCTTTTTCTTATTTCCTGTTTTTGATTTTCAAAAAAACAGGAAATTGAAAACCAAAACTGATGCCAAACAAACCCTTTTAGGTTTTTTGGTTTTAAATTGATTAAATTATACTTTTAAATAATAATAATAATAATAAATAAAAAAAAAGGAAAACCCACCACCACCATATCTGTCGGCAAACAGATCTTCGCAGATACCCCCTTTTTCCTCTAACTCCGACCTTCCCCTAGCCCTCCTCTCCCCTCGCAAGAAGAAAGTTGGGGTACTAGTGGGGTTGTCCTTGTCGAAAAGGGGACATGAGGGCTTCGCGAAGGTCAGGGTAAGAGGATAAGGGAGGTGGGGGCTGAATGGGTAGCTGGCTCGCGTGCGGGGGTGGAAGGGAAGAGTGTTCATTCCGATTAGGGGGAAAGGGAGGGGGTCGAATCGGGGAAAGAAAAGGGGTGGGATTGAGCTGGTCTGGTCGACCGGCGTAAGGGCCGGCTGTGGGGTTAGGGTTCCAGCTAGGTGGTGGTGACTGGGTTGGTGATAAGGTTTTTTTTTTTTTTTTTTTTTTTTTTTTTTTTTTTTTTTTATATAAAATTTATTGTTTATAAAATAACTTTTTTAATAAAAAAAAATCTAAGGTTAATCTTATAAATTAAAAAGGTCAGCCATAAAACCTTTAAATGGGCACTATGCTTAATTAATCAAAACTTGGGTGTCACTAAAGAGAGTTGGAAAAAAGTTTGTCTTCCACGTAGAAAAATAAAATCTTGGAGGTCACTATGTAGAATTTCCCGTAAAATTAACATTTATCACACCAATTGGCGCGTGATTTTGTCATGCCTTCTCAAATTAATACCACTTTAGGTAATTTTAAGATTCAAGATTTTTTTAAAAAAGTTAATATTTACTTATTTTATGTTTAGTATGAAGTGTAAGATTAAAACTAGATTATATTAGATCAAATCAAATGCTTAGTAATGAGACTATAAAATCAATTCAAATCATCTAAATTGAGCATAACTTAGGCCTTGTTTGATTACACTTTACTAATGGTGGAAATAGAAATTCATGAGAAGTGAGTATTTGCATAATTGTTTGGTTGACATATATGTGGGAAGTTGAATTTCCTTCCTAAATAAAATTCCTACAAAACATGGGAATTTAATTCCTCATTATACCTTGGTATAAAATTACAATTTTACCCTCAAAAATTGAAAAATATATTTATTTATACAAAAAGTAGTTAAGGTAATCATAATACATGAGAAATACATGTTAACCAAATAAAACATAGGAAATTAATTTATGGGAAATTCAATTTATAAACCAAACATGTTTTTAGCATTACATAGGAACATTAACTTCCCATGGATTATAATTTCCATATGTTTCTATTTCCCAAATGCAACGAAACGAGGCCTTATCAATAGACAAAAATCGTTGTTAGATTCATAGTAGCTAATACTCTGTCTATCCCTTATTTTTTTGCCTCGTTCCAAATAATTGAGTCAAATTTTAAAATCTTTGGCCGTAAATTCTCATTAATCTATAAGAGATAATATAGTCAAGTGAGGTCTTATTGGATTCGCCTCATTGTATATTTTATTAATATCAAATTTTTATAATATTTACGCATATAAAAGTGAAGTTATATGCGTTCTAAGATGCACGGTGGATACCGCAAAAAGTCAAATGAGGTAAAAAAAAATAGAGACGTAAGGAATATTAGGAAGTTGATTTTGGCACACCACTAATTGATTTTGGCACACCTCTACATGAAAAGAATATAAAAAACCTATGCTCTCATATAGAGGTGTGTCAAAATCATTTCCCGAGTATTACTACGTACATTATATTTTTATCGGTTGCATATTTACATTTTTCAACTTAAAATTTTGCACATTTTTCATTTAGGGCATGTTCACATTTACTTAATTTCATTTCAGTTCAGTTCAGTTCAACTCCTAATTTCCCTATCTCATAAAATATTCAGTTCAACTCAATTCAGTTCAGTTCAGCTCCAATCAGTTCAGTTCAGTAAATGTGAACAGACCCTTAGTATTGTACGGAGTTGTTAGGGAACCAAAGATTTTTTTTAAGAACAAATAAATGAAATAAATATGGAAAAGGAAAATACACAAGAAAGTACTCTATTCACTCTACCGTAAAAAAAAATATGAAGTAAAAATAATTTTAATTTAGTAAAAATTAGTAAATTTAAAGAAGAAATATAATAGATAACCAGTATAAATAATTTTAGATGAGTAACAATAATTTAAGTTCAACAAAAATATTTAAGTTTAGCAAAAATAAGGTGAGGTGAACATAGCCTAATTAGATTTAGATTCTTTGATTAGATGACACTCTTTATAACATCATCAAATACTCCTACACAAGGTAAGCATCAACTGCAACATTATAGATGTGGTTCCTCTCATTCATATTTAATGTATTCCAATAGTTCTTACTAATTCATTAACCTATTAAATCAACCTCAAATGTCAAAAAGGATATGCACATTTGAAGTCATACTTTGATAAGATGAAATCCATTCTGGATTTTAGCTGTTCTTGTTGCTTGGTACTTCACAAATCACAACGGACTGGAACTGAATGGCATACGATCGGAAGCATGTCTCATTAGAAAGCAAGGGGACATTGCCTTCATCATGAGACCATGACAACTACCAAGTTAGAAGAAACTACAAAGTGTAGGCCACAACTGAGTTTCCGAAACGTGAAGATAGTCATGAAGGACCACTTATTAAGACTACAATTTCCTCAAAGCTCCCATACTAAAGCCTAGAGGGTTGTTATGTCTTATGTGTGCTATCATAGATTTTGGCAACAAAAGTATACCATAAAGAACTGTTGGGAGCAGCTAATATAAACTGTTCGACAATTTAATCTTTTGGGTGAATAATATGCACAACAATGAACAATTATCATTAATATTAAGACCATAGCAATCCAGGAATTCTGTAAGAACAAATATCTGCTTGATTGATCCTGTCAAAGAAATGTGCAAGAACCCATGTAAGGCAAGCATTTAAGAGCTCGAGACACAATTATACAAACAAAAAATTGCTAGCCAATCAAGAGAAAGTAATAAGCACAGCATACCTAGTTAGAGATTTCTTTGTCTTGCTGCATGCACGACTTAATGAAGTCGATGACGACTGGGACTACTTCATCTTGGTGCTCAGTGAAAGAATGATTTGCTCCTTCAATGATGTGCAATTTGTGGTTCGGTATTATCTTAGAGAATTCATATGCATCCTCAACGGGAATGATTTCATCAGCAGTTCCATGAACAGTCAACACCCTGAAAAAATATGATCAGAGAGAAGATCATTAGGAAATTGAAATTATAGTACCTTTATAATAAACTAGAATTCATAACAAAACAAAAAGCCATTCATGAACATAATCACTTAAACAGATCCCATAAAAGATATCCTATTGGTTGATGAGAACCCCCCCCCCCCCCACCCACACACAGACACAGAAAAAAATAGAATTATATTTTATCTAATTTCTTCTCTAATATGCAAAGAAAATTCTGATGAATCAGTGGTAAAAGCTTCCATGTCCCTGAAGTGCAGTTCTGTAAGTTGAAACAATGAGACTATGAGAGTGGATTACAAAGGCCAAAATGTTATTGATAGAGGAGGTAGTTGAAAAAAAAAAAAAAAAACTTTGGATAGAGGAGGTGGTCGAAATCACCTTCGACAGTACTTTCAAATGAGACCATGGATGCTACTGATTACAAAATAAACCTACAGCTATTCAAAAGTGTCTCATACAATCATTACAGGAGAGAGGCATGGATTATTATATTTATGAAAACGCAGCTTTTAAAAGTTTGAATTATTATCAGACCTATGCCTGACATGCAGGAAATCTGAATAATAATTGGGCCATAGATGAGTTCAATCAATATTAAATATTGATAAAAAAAATGTTGTAGACACTCCAAAGGCGCTGTGCTTATGCCTGATGATTCTTAACTAATGAGAATCATGCTTAATAATTCATTGACAATCCAACAAATGTCAAGCAGGTTTTGTCCTAAGTACAAAAAGTGTTTATTTCATGTTCAACTACAGAGTATTTAAGACTAGCCCAATGAGCAGTTTATAAGCAAGAATTAGTAAGAGAAGGATGCATAGCTTTAAACCGCTTATATCGAATTCCGTATGATTAAGTAAAAGCTCCATATAATTCATTCCCATTTTTCCCAAAAGAAGGAACTAGTCCAGCATGACAGATGAAACATGAAACAGGGAGAGATGAATCTACAATGTCCATCTCATACTGGATCCCAAGCCAATCAGATTACCTCTCATGCTTGGATAACTTAGTATAGCTCTCTGGTCTCCACTTTGACTTTGTTGAAGAATAATAGACACTTGCCAATCAAAAGTCATTTTCAACACTATAAAGACATATGTTAGATTTTTAATGAACAGGTCATCTGTCAACCCCATGTTTCCTTCAAGTCTTTAAGTAGTGACAATTAAAATAGAATAGAAAGAGTAAGTAAATATCTTAACTTTAACACTTTAAGTAGAAAAGAAAAGAAATCAATTATAAGTGGATCCAGTTCATATAAGAAAGTGTAAAAATAAAATTGGGGCGAATACAAAAGAAAAGTATGACAATTATAATAGAATAGAAAGGGCAAGTAAATATCTTCAACAATTCAACATGAAAATAAAGAGTTTGTCTTAATATTATAGTGTGTGAAAACAATGCAGTTATAATAAGAACAAGGAAAAAAGAAATTCT